AATACTATTAAAAAGCAAGATCGCTAAACGTTCTAATGGCATTTCCCTGTAACGCCAATACTATTAAAAAGCGTAACTTCTTTACCGAGCCTCTGGAATGCTTGGGTTCCGCACTCACCAGCGGAAAAAGTTGAAAATCGTGATCACCGATTCCAGGGGGCCATGGCTCACTGCTGGGTCACAAAAACATTTTAGGTGGCCAAGAACCTATTGAAAATTGAACGAGGTATTGATAAATTTAGTTTCATATTTTATCTAGTGTCACTAGAGTTAAATTTTGATTGCAGTAGCAATAAATAAAGCTTAAGAGACCTTTTTTTCATGGTTCTAATTTTCATTCTAACTAACAAAGTGAAACTGTCTATATTGCGGGAAGAAATATTTGTTTTTCTTGTATTTTTATCCTGGCATGGAAAAGTTACTGGACCACGGAATTTTGGTGCAACGAAAAAATGACCAAGACAGAAAAAAGATTGAGACTCGCTGTTGTAGGTGTAAATTAAGAAATTTATGATAAGACTATTACAGTGAAGTTACCCAAATCGTTTGTACTTAATTACAATGTAAAAAAGTGAAGGCTACAGTTTTATTTATATCTATACCTTAGAATTGGCTCAGCGCAATTCTTTTCGAGTCTAGGGCCTGCAATAGTTAAGACCTGGTTAGATGCACTGTACATTGTGCGGGAACTCTATTTGTAACGATTCCATCTTATGTTGTCGACATTTGCCTGAAGCTGTGATAACTCTGTCCGGTGGATAAAACATCTGGTCATACCCCTTTAATGGGAAGGCTTTTTTGGATGGACTAACACTCAAGCCCCAGCACCTCATATGTTATATCATGGTATCGTGTTCTTTAGATTTGATTCTACGACATGATATTTTTTTATACTATATTAAACCTGACATGCGCACACTATGGCCCGCGGGCCAAATTCGACCCGTTAAATAATTCAATCTGGCCCGCCTGATGCTGCCACAGTCCAACTAAAATCAAATTTTTAGGTTTAGGCATGGAATTTTTTGGGATTGCGATTAAATTTAGTTTTGGCACAAGGCTTGTTTTCCACTTTTGCTTCAGTGGGACTGTAAATATAGTTCATAAAATGTAACTTTTTACGTCACACTTGCATGAATAGCCAGCCAAAAGGATTTGATCCCTAGCCATTAAAGCTTGCCCACCCTGATATAGACATATGTACGATGGTATCTTTATCATATTCGGTCTCTGATGAAGATTATAAGAATGTAAATTCGAAACGTTAGCAAATTACATTGTTTTTCCAGCACCGGTTGTGCTTTATGTATTTGTCTTTTGTACTTTAAATCGAATTCGGTGCAAATACAAGTCCGAATCTCAGTCAATTGTGCTTATTTAATTAATCCATTCCGGAAAGTGCAACGCCAAAGGGAATGCTTAAATTCAAAACGCCGGTAAATCATATTGTTTAGCTAACACGGTTATGCCATATATTTATTTACCTTACGAACTTTGGATAGTAAAGTATGCTCCAAATAAACTCTTCAGAATTCTCGTTATAGAAAGCGTTTACATGAAAGTAATCCAATTTTAGAATGCAAAACGAACGCTTCAATATCAAGCTTAATCCAATCCTGATTCGAACCATTTGAAGATAAACATAGTCTCGTATTTCTCTCCCAAAGGCCTAAGGGCAGTGGTGTTATTTTGGTGTTGCGTACGGGTTCTTGGAATGTCGCGATAATCAGCAAAACGCGTTCATTGTGACTAAATGTTTTAGTATCCAGTGGAGGGCAAGGTTTCTGGTCCAGGGGCCAAAAGTTTCGCCCACCTAGACTGGCGGGCCATATAAGTGTGGCTTAAAAAGTTAGATTTTATGAACAATATTTACAGTGTTACAAAAGCAAAAGTGGAAAACAATAAGTCTCGTGCCAAAACCAAATTTAATCACTATTTCACGATTCCCATTCCTATTTTTTTTAGCTAAAATACCAGAATTTGGTTTTGGTTGTGGCAGCATCAGGCGGGCCAGATTTAATACCCGACGAGCCGGATTTGGCCCGCGGGCCATAGTTTGCCTATGTCAGTTTTGGACGTATGACGGCCGCAGGTAACAAGCACTATAGCTGACGACTAGTCTTATATTTGGCATTTCGAAAATTATGTATTATATTCATAAGAGCGTGCCATGTTAATGTAGCTTACATAGTGACATACATACATTTTTCTGAAATGAGGGAACCTGTTCTTTGTGAGTTCCATACACGAGAGAACCCGTTCCTTAAATTACGAATCCCGTCCCATCACTATTTGGGAACACGGCATGTTTCTTTTTAAATGAGGGAACCCGTTGTAAGCGAGTTTCATGCAAAGAAGAACTCGTTCTAAGATTTAAATTCCTTTTCTATTTGGGAACACGCATAGTTTTCACGTTGCTAAAATATTGAATCCCATCGCAATGATACAATGATACTTTTTATGAGAGCAAATACTCGTAATAAGGATACTTGAACGAGATAGTATTAAAAGTGATGAATGAAAATGTATAATGATTCAATCTATACCACCGGTTTCAAAATAGTGCGCGGCGGTTTTTTTTTCGTTCGTTTGTTTTTTCCTTGATAATTTGGCGCGCACGAGCAATGAGTTTGGGAACCAATGATCTACGATTGATTTTTTTTATTAGTTAAAGGAAAATGACCTTGACTTCACTTGACTTATCTCAGAAATTGTGTAAAGAGATCATGTCATTCTTATTTATTACTTCAATAATGTCTCGTCTAAGAATTTATGTCGACGCATACCAATAAGTTCTTATTCAAAACTTTCAAACTTTATTCGTTATGGCGTTCCATTTATTCACTCGCTAATAAATTGTTGACTTGACCTTGGCACATATGCTTCATTCGTAAGCTTAATTTAAAAATAATTTTACTTGGTTAGGATTTAAAGTACTTGGCAAAATTTGTCAAAAGTATTTTCAAACTTTTATCTGTTTTGGCGTGCCATTTATTCGTTGCTAATAAATTGTTGATGTGCACGTATGCTTTATTTTTAAGATTTCAATGTTATCTTAAAATACTTAGCAAAATTTGTCAAAAGTATTCTTTAGAAAGCGTTTACAAAGAACAATCCAATTTTAGAAAGCAATACTAACGCTTCAATACCAAACTTAATCCAAGCCTGATATAAAGGATTTACAGTCGGTTTATTTAAAGGTAAACATAAATACGAATTTGCGAAAGTGGTGAAACATTGAGTAACAAAATCTGTCATATTTATCTCAGAGAGAGAAAAGGCGATAAGAAGGTTTTGCGTTATGTTGTTCTTATTTATTACTTTAAATAATGTCTCGCCCAAGAATTTGTGTCAAAACATGGCAATAAGATTTTATTTTGTCGCGGTAAATCTTTTCAAACTTTTATCTGTTAAGGTGTTTTATTTATTCGCTCGCTAATAAATTGTCGATTTGGTCGTGGTACAAATGCTTCATTTGTAAGCTTAATTCACAAATGAACTAGACTAGACTTTTCCTATAATTTGGAATAATTGACGTAATTTGTCAAAAGTATTCTCAAAGTTTTATCTGTAATAGCGTTTCATTTCTTCGTTCGCTGAATTGTGGATGTGCACATATGCTTTATTTGTAAGTGTTTATTATTTATCTTAGAATTTGTAATACTTGGCAAATTTTGTTGAAAATATTCTTTAGAAAGCCTTTACACAGAATAATCCAATTTTAGAAAGCAACGTAACGCTTTCATACCAAGCATAAATCATCTCCGCTTTATGTAACTTACATACGACCCATACAAGAATAAACATAACCACCACTTCCCTTGCAAAGGCCTTAATTATATCGAGCGAGAATTAAAGGTATCTGATTATGCCCGCAGGTGCTGTCGGGTCATGTTGTGCGTAGTGCCGGCCTGATACTGCCTGTTACGCGATGTAAGGAGAGGAAGTTGAGCGATATTACCAAGATATTAATATGATATAATGAGGGATATTAGTATCGTCGTTTTGGGGAATGTAAGCTTTCTGTAATTTATTAGTTAGCCTTAGTTATTGTACTGATCGGGACGTTGTGAGGTGGTATATGCAAAATTTTCAGTTTTTTCAAATCTCATTTTTGAGTCTTGCTGCACAATAACAGAAATGTATTTCTGTAACGTTTCCTAAAACAAACAATTGGATTACGCTGTAAACTGCTTTTACGAGAAGTTATACATTTGGTCAGACGAAACGTTACAGAAATACATTTGTGTTAGTGTGCTGCAGGACTTTTGAATTGCATAGTATGGTCATTTTTATTCCTGCTACAGCATCCGTGCATTACACACATACGGATACACTAGCATAGCGGAAGGATTGGAAGTTAGTCTCGCGCATAATTCCATTTTGAGTGGTGTTCTAAGTATTATTCGCAATCTTGCTAATATTATTCAGTTATTTATTTCATTAAAATTAAATAACCAAATTGAATATTTATTATAATATGTGCCAGTTTGAATAGCCCTGATCTGAAGAAATCGAAAAGCCATTGACCTATAGTCGTCATACATGTCGTATTTTTTACATTTTATATTGATATAATGAGGAAAACCAATAGTTTTGTGAAATAACAGACAGGTTCTTGTATTTAAATAGTAAGTTATAGTACTGCTAAGGGTTTGTAAGAAGGTGAATTCCAGATTTTTACATCTCATTTTGAGTGGTTTTCAGCGCTAGATGAACAAAATATGTTTTTTTTTTTAGTTAGCCATAGCCATATTACTGTAATACCTATTTATGTACGCGTTGTGAACTATTTCAATTGCACTAAAGCCAAAGTGCGATTTGGACGTAACACTACATGAGGTTCCTTCGCAGAACAAACAATATTCTTGTTGTCACAAACCACCAATCGCATGCTAGTTCAGAAAAAAAATTCTTGAGGTGGTCACGAATGACATAATGTTAGATTCAAAGTTTTAATCAACAATTTTTGATTCCATATTTTCACAATGTTTTTCCAGAAATTGAAATAATGATGTTACTTACACTAGCGGCCGTTGTTGTGTTCCTCACTGGTAATACCTACGCAGCGAGAAGTAAGTTATTTATCTTAAATAATTGAATTTTTTTTACAGCGTTTCCTAAACGAGGGAGGATTTCCCCCAGAATTTTTTTTGTTGGAGGGTACTGAGGTACTGTTTCCAAAATCGAGAATATATCAATAAATGTTGGGTAACATTGACTCAATAAAAAAATTTCACGTTCATGCCTACGCAGCAAGAAGTAAGCCATACATAAAAAATGTCGAGGAGAATTCCCTTCCCATATATATGTTGAATTTTGTTGCTTTTGGAGAAGAAATACAGCATTATTACTTGGTTTTCGGTTTTACTAATATTGTTGCGTATTTAGTATTATTGTAATACATATTCATGCGCACACATTATATAAACTACTTAAACCAAAGTAAAGTCAGATTGCGACTTGCTTTAAAACGAGATAATAATCCTTCAAAGATTGAACAAATTATGGAAACAAACTTGCATAGTGAGAATGGAATAAACACTAAAGGGTTCCAAAAAATGCAACAGGAATAATAATGTTGAAAAAAGTTTACGAGGAACTTGAATTCAAGCTTTGCATAGTTTGAACAGATTATAATCTGTGCGTAAATAAGTATTACAATAATACTAAATAAAATAAAAAATCTCAGTAATACCACACCCAAATGGGAGCTTCAAAAGTATGTATACCAATATAAAGGTAACTAATTTTGTTCGCCTACTTTACATCAAATTGTGTAAAGGGACTGAAACCTATGGACAGGGGGTATATTCACTTTGCTAACCAAGACAGTTTCCACACTCGTAATAGAACTAAAACTATGTCTTAACGCTAACCTGGTACACCTACTACGGGAGTACCCCTAAATGTACTATAATTAAATTCTATTTTTTTCCAGCCTGGAGCGCGTGTTCAAAAGACTGTGGATACGGCGTTCAAACTCTTGAATTTTGCGCTGGGTTCTATGGAAAATGCACAACGTACAGCAGAGCATGCAAGATTAAAGACTGCGAGCCCGGTGGTGAGTAAAAGTAATGTTTCATATTCCTTGAGGGGCACTCCAGAAGTATGTGTACCAATATGGAGGTAACTAATTTTGTTCGCCTACTTTGCATCAATTGTGTAAAGGGACTGAAACCTATCGGCAGGTGGTATATTCACTTGGCTAACACAAACAGTCCCCGAACTTGTAAAATAACTTAAAGAAAGAAAATCAGATAAAATTATGGCCTAACCCTAACATGGTACACACACTACGGGAGTACCCTTGACGGGCAAGGTAATTCCTATATCAGAGATGGCTAACTACTAACCCTCTGGTCTGGCTTGCCATGTTTTTCGTCGAGAATTGTTGCAAAAATTATCAATATTCCCGTAAGAAATAATTTGTAAAAAAGCCGGAATGATGGAACAGTGGCCATTTTACGACCGAAATAGTAAGTGGAAAAATGAAAAAAAGTTCGCCATTTCTGTACTAGACCAATATTCACAGGAGTTGAAAGTGTCCCTAACTTTTTTCTTTGGCCAAATGCTCTTTACGATATGCAGTCCCATTTTATTCATTTATTTGAACATTATTGTTATCTTCTTCGCTTTATGCGGTATAGTGTATTTTTATTGAACACAAAGTGGGCCATAGCACCCACCGAGTATGTATCGAGATTATGTATCGTTAACAGTGGGTAACGCGATGTATTAACCATTAAGCAAAATAAACACGTGCTTAGGGCATCAAGGAAAAGTGCACCACAGCAATTTTTAGAGAGAGAGAATTTTCGTCAACCAGAAAAAAAGAGCATTGCAAAAATAATTAATAAACATATACACAATAGTAACATACCCAAAGTTTTCAATATAGACTTGGGGGAGCGATACGACCATACATACGGTCATCAGAGTCATCTCCATAAATTCATAGGCTAGTTCAGGGCTACTCAACTATTTTTACCGAAGATCCGCATACCAAACTTTAAAATTATTTGGGTCTGGTCTTTCCAGAAATTATATTCCGGCATCCTTAAACGCGCACTTCCTCGACCGGCTATAGCAAACCAAGATTGTTTATTATGGTATTATAGTTCTTGTCATATATATTCAAAACTATAATTGTCATTTTATTGAAGAAAACTTTAAAAATGGAGCTAATGATAATAAAAGTATTAGGTGCGGTCCGAATCAAATACTCGAATGGTCCGGATTCGGACCGCCAGTTGAGTAGCCCTGGCCTAGTTTACAATGGTGTCCCAGTGTTTAGCGGAACAATTCGAGTTGTCAGACGACAGATACCACAATATTGTTATTGAAAACTGCTGGTCTCGCAGCAACGTTTAATGTTACAACCGCTAGTCCACAGCGCCTACAAAGTTCTTTGTTTTGTTGTCAGTTTAGCAACAATTTTCCGTTAAGTATTTATCATCGAGTGTTACTGGAAGTGGAATACCATAAAAAAGTAAGATATAAAAGTCAGTTTATATGTTTTATATCAGTGTTAAGCACAAACTTTTTAGCAGCGCGCACTTAGAAAATTCAGTGACTACTAGCCCCCATACACACAAAAAAAATCCAAAAAATTATTTTTCATCCATTATTTAGAACCCATTTGCTATTGTGGAGGATTAGCTTAGTGCAATGCCACTAAATATGATGCGATGAATGGTGAATTCACCGAACAGTTTACGCAAAAGCTCACAGGCGGTACTGTCGCCCACTTTGGGTAACGGTGTTACATATGATTGTTTTACAGAATGTGACAAACCATGTGGCGGTGGTCGGGTGTGCAATCAAAATTGCCATGGACCTGGGGGAACTCCTCCTTGTGATGAAGTATGTGAAGTGTGCAACGATTTCCCATGCGTCCCGGGTAAGTGATATTTTGTTTTTCAGAAATCTTCTCGAGGTAAGATTGTGTGACTATATCATGTTTATGGCGGTTAATTTGCAGTTTTGTGAAACTGTCGTCATTTATAAACTTGTTCTATCGTCATCTTTTGGCTAGATGAATTGCCAACCAACTACCAAAAGTTTGAGTTCCATGGGCCCCCGGTTGGGATCCACTGCTATAGAGAGAGGAAAGTCAATGAGACGGCTTGACTACATCGCAAATGCTTCGAACTAAAAGTGGAAAGAGTACTGAATGAAGATTTTCATCGGGGTTGCCCCAAAAATGAAACATTTTTAACATATTTTAGAGAGAACATAATTTTTCCTAAGGAAACTTTTGCGTACAATCATATCAATTATTTTAGTGAAAATAATTAAACATTTATAGGTTCTTGGTCAACCATCTCATTGGCTTTCTTCTCTATAGAGCAGTGGTTACCAACCAGAGGGCCATGGCCCCCAAACGATTGGTAGTTGGTTGACAATACATCTGGCCTGCACATAACTGTAGAACCTTGTGTAGTTAACCGTCGTAAACATATTATAAAAAAAACGTAACATTACTTACGTCGCCATTCGTGACCAAGGTATATCAAGTGGCCTAGAATGTGCGCGGTTCACTCATAGCTCATATTTTTGAAATGGTAAACAGGGAGCCGTGAGAGCTGAAAGTTTCCAAAAGGGGGACACGAGCTCTAATAGTTTTCAGTTCTCTTTAAAAAATTTTCTTTCTTCAAATACAAAATCATACCCTATCTCAGGGCCCGCCCTTTAAGATTAATCAGTACTCTTTAATAGAACTCATTCTCGTGAGAAATTTTAAATTCCCGATTTCTTTACAGGGCATGGTCCGCCATATAATTGAGCCGCCTCTTTGCTTTTCGTTTTCTATGAGTAAGAAAATCAACTATAAAATCATATGTCATTGCCCTCTAAGAACTACCAGCGGAATTAAATAATAAAAAAAACCTAAAAAACGGTGGAAATTTTCGATATCTGGGCAAGACGTGATTCCCTGATTTGCCTACGGTTAAAACATCTTATTGACTTTCCTCTCTCTAGAGATAAAAACCGTATAATATGAGTAGCCCCGGTGAAACTATCAATTCTCCCTCTTTTTGCTTGAGTTAGTTACTCTACAATTGTTCTTTTCCAGGTTTCGACACTTACAGCGAATGCACCAAGCCATGTGGCGGAGGAACAAGATTCAAAGTTCCCATGTGCGCGGATGGAACCCCCGAAACCTGCCCTAAAGAATACGAAGAGTGTAATGCGCAAGCGTGCCCTCCAGGTATGCATTTTTGGTGCTACCATAGTATGTTCACCAAAATGACGCACAACCTGAACATAGTATGTGTACCAGGTTAGGGTTCAGGTTGTGCGCCATCTTGGTGCACATACTACGGGAGCGCCCGTTTTTTTACGATTGCTTTTTATCACTTCGCTACGAACTGTACAAAAGTGATCGAACGCTGCTATTTTTGCAGAAGACGGGATCTTTTCGTTTCGGCATTGTCTACCCAAATTTGTACACCCTGATGAAGGTTATGGGCATCGGATTTGAACCCTAGATGTGTAACATGGTTTTTAACAAAGTTCGCAAACTGATGACGTAATCAGTGACGTCACGATGTATAGTTGTGAAGTTATCTGTATAGTTACGTCATTAAACACACTATTTAACCCCATGCCCACTGAGTATAACTTGATGTTTCGGCATTGCCACCATGTCTTCATGCCTCCCACTACCCAGTCGGTCGGACCCACTAGTCGTTACGATCTGACTTGGCAATTAAAAATCTGTAATCTGTAACAGTAGACTACTGTTCCAGCCGTCACAATGTCATTTAAAATGTGGAAGACAGCCATCACGATGTCATACAAACGTGTTCCCATAATTAAAAATTATACATCGCATTTTAGATGAAATATCACAGAAAATTTGGAAACAAATAAAATGAAGTGAATAAGAAAAGCGTTCTTATCATAACAACAAGAAAAAAAAGGTACTCCCGTAGTATGTGCAACAAGATGGTGGACCCGGAACGTGGAATGTGTACCAGGTTAGGGTTAGGCCATAATTTCCGGTTCAAATACTGCGGAAGTCACTTGGCTAGTCCCCAAACTCGTAATGGAACTAAAATAGGAAAAATGGAATAAAATTATGGCCTAACCCTAACCTGGTACACATACTATGATGTTCAGGTGTCCGCCATCTTGTTGCACATACTACGGGAGCACTAAAAAAATACCAACAAGATTAACAAATCAACATAATAGCAAAACGATTCATATTTCCGCTTCATGTTTGAAAAGGAAAATCACCTAATTATGTCTCATTATTTTCAGTTTCTTGTCCCATTGGTCAGCAGCACAGGTATGATTCTATGTCATCCTGCTGTAGAACGATATCTTCTTCGTCAACTTGCGGAAAAAACAACGAGCCTAACTTTTTCCAGAAAATTTTTGGAGGAGAGTTATCAACCTTGGGTTTATGGCCGTGGTTGGTAAGTACCTTAAAAATGAAGAGTTTTTCTATACTGCACCGTACGCAGCATATGCGTAGCCAGTGGTAGGAGTTATAATGCCCCCTCCCCTCCCCCTTTTTTGTTATGTCGCGGCATTTGCAGTGAGACATAATTCCTTATGCCCTTTTACTTCACCCTTCTCCATTTTACTTTACTCTTGAACGATTTACTAAAAACTGAACGTTTCCTGTCTTGCTTTCAATAATCCGAGCACAAAATGCCACGAAATAAACCAAACGAGATAGGTTACTATGCGCGCTTGTATACCTTGCTCAGACAACTTCAACAACAATGTAAGTTTATACAGATATTTCTCAAGCTATTGATAAATATCAGTAACTGCTTTAACCAACCTTCTTTGAAGCAAAATACACGAGTAGGCGTCGTATTACGTCACTATACAAATAAATTCATAAATCCCCCCCCCCCCCAAATGGCCTTTTACGCAGTGATAGCATTCAAAACGTCAAGAACGGGTTCTCTTTCACAGGCGTCACTAACAACCGGTTCCCTTATTTTAGAAGACCGCTCATAATTTTATAACAACACAAGAACGCAGCATAGGATAACATTATTATTATTTTTAGTTCTTATGACTGACGTAGTTTGTGGGTGCTCCCGAAGCATATGAATCAAGATGGCGGTTACGTAGTATGTGTACCAGGTTAGGGTTGGGCCATAATTTCCGGTACAAATACTACGGGAGTCAATTGGTACTACCGAAGTATATGAACCAAGATGGCGGTTACGTAGTATGTGTACCAGGTTAGGGTTGGGCCATAATTTCCGGTACAAATACTACGGGAGTCACTTGGTACTCCCGAAGTATATGAACCAAGATGGCGGTTACGTAGTATGTGTACCAGGTTAGGGTTGGGCCATAATTTCCGGTACAAATACTACGGGAGTCACTTGGTACTCCCGAAGTATATGAACCAAGATGGCGGTTACGTAGTATGTGTACCAGGTTAGGGTTGGGCCATAATTTCCGGTACAAATACTACGGGAGTCACTTGGTACTCCCGAAGTATATGAACCAAGATGGCGGTTACGTAGTATGTGTACCAGGTTAGGGTTGGGCCATAATTTCCGGTACAAATACTACGGGAGTCAATTGGTACTCCCGAAGTATATGAACCAAGATGGCGGTTACGTAGTATGTGTACCAGGTTAGGGTTGGGCCATAATTTCCGGTACAAATACTACGGGAGTCACTTGGTACTCCCGAAGTATATGAACCAAGATGGCGGTTACGTAGTATGTGTACCAGGTTAGGGTTGGGCCATAATTTCCGGTACAAATACTACGGGAGTCACTTGGTACTCCCGAAGTATATGAACCAAGATGGCGGTTACGTAGTATGTGTACCAGGTTAGGGTTGGGCCATAATTTCCGGTACAAATACTACGGGAGTCACTTGGTACTCCCGAAGTATATGAACCAAGATGGCGGTTACGTAGTATGTGTACCAGGTTAGGGTTGGGCCGTAATTTCCGGTACAAATACTACGGGAGTCACTTGGCTAGTCCCGAACTCGTAATAGAACTATATTTAGGGAACCTGGTACAATACTACGTTCAGGTGTCCGCCATCTTGATTAACACACTTCGGGAGTACCGTTTTGTGCACCAGGACTATAATATTTCAAGTTATAAGACCAAATAATTTTTATCGTTGTGATGACATATTCTTTGACGAAGGATATAATTCTGAAATTTTTTAGCAAATTGATAATATTTACTGGGGATATATTCAGTTCTTTACACGTCAAGTTAAAAATGATCTTAGGACGTCCTAGCTGGGACGATATATTCTAAAATGCTCGACGGTTTCGTTTTTTGTGATGAAAAATTTTTTTAACGCCATATTTATAAACGTATGTCACTACATAAGCTGCATCAACATGACATGTTAAGATAAATCGATCTAATACCTAACTTTCAAAACGCCAAATCGAACGACATTTGTTAGCGGCCAGTGGTGTTTCTACGTAAAATTGAGCCAATGGTAAAGTTTAAAAATACACCGCCTTGGCCGTTAACTGACAATTTTTAACGACTGTTCTTAAAATTAGATGACTGTTCTTTATTACTTGATAAAAAAACGAGTTTCATTTATTCCTAACTTTGAATTTATTTCATTGAAACGTTCTATGATTAAGACATTTCAATCCTATATGAACGGCGCCCATGGCACAAGACATGGCTGCCATACCCTACCTTGATCAGGGCTACTCAACTGGCGGACCACGGTCCCAATCCGAACCTTTCGAGTATTTGATTCGCACCTCACCTAATTCTTTATTTTGGATCATTAGCCCAACTTTTGAAGATTCCTTTTATAAGGTGACTTTTATAGTTTTGAATATATTTGAAAAGAACTATGACATCATAATAAACAATATTTAGCTAATAATCATCAGTCGGTCGAGGAAGTGCGCGTTTCGGATGACGAAATACAATTTCTGGAAACACCGGACCCAAATAATTTTTAAGTTTTGTATGCGGATTTTCCATAAAAATAGTTGAGTAGCCTTGCTCTAGATACGCCACTGGCTGCGGTGCACCCATTTGCCGCAGTCGCTCAACGCCTATAACAAAAATACAAAAATGGTTTAGGTGGTTATCGCGAGACTGAAAATAGCCCCATTAAGCTGTCACATTATTTTTTTTTTCTGAGGACCCCGATTAAACCCATTTATTGGTTTTTTTTCCAAACCCCGCTCCCCCACTCAATATTCTATGACCTATGTCATTTTAATCATTTTAAATTCTATCGATTTATTCGTTTCAGGCCGTCATTGTCGACAAAAGATCAGCCTCGGCCGCTTGTGGAGGGTCTCTGATCCATAAGAAATGGATTCTGTCTGCAGCTCATTGCATGAGGTAAGGATATAATAAAAATTATTATCCGGATCCAAAATTTCACTGCGATCATTTCTAAAACCAACTCCGGTTATTGTATCCGGACTTGAAAATTTGACTCGGAACAATTTTATTACGCCTTTTACTCCTAACAAGGGTGAGTACAGTGATGTACCCAAGACCTATAGCAGTGAACAACCCCCTAAAATCTTTACGTTTTTTTTTACCTCCAACAAGGTACGATGATGTACCGACACCCCCGCCCCTATAGGGGTAAACAGCACCCATCCCCTAAAATTGCAAACCCCCGCCCGGTGTGGAAGTCTTAATTTCGAAAATATGATTTCAAAATCTCCGGGTTAGCCCGAGACGTTTTCAAAGTCGCTTACTCAAACATTACGTATTTTTGAGGTCCTTGAAGCAGTGACCGACAGAACTCCTAACAAAAAAGTTTTAAATAACAGGGCAAGAGTTCCCTTTGACCCAGCCGACTTTTACGCATTGCTTGGAACAATTAAAATCAGTACTCCCAGTGCCGGCCACGTAAGAGAGGAGATAGTAAGATATATCCCCCACGAAGATTATGATCCGACAACATCCGAGAACGATATCGGTTTGATAGAGGTAAGATTTGATTTTCTTCTACTGCTCTTTCTTTTTATCTCTCTCTCTCTTTATTACAATACCTTTTTCTCTCTCATTTTTCTTCTCCTCCCCTACTATCTTTCGCTTCCCTAATTTTCTTTCTCTCTCTTTTTCAATCTCCCTCACTCTCTTTCTCAGTCTCTCTCATTTCCATATCTTTCTCTCCTCTATCTCCCCAATTATATCTTTCTTACTCTCTCCTCCATTTCTCTACCTCTCTCTCTTACTCTCTTTACAACTGTAATTCCCACTTCCTCACTCTCTCTCTGTCTCTTCATCTCACCCTTTCTCTTTTACTACCTCTTGTGCATTGGCCAGGCTATTTATGACAAAAGAGTCTTGTACGATACGCACGATTTGTCTTAGTACGATATAATTCTGATGAATCGCTTCTGAATAATTCCAATGTGGTGAATGAACAATTGTATATATATAAATGTTAACATAATCTGATGGGGTGACTAGATTATACAGTAAATTCAATATACTGTAGGCAGGGCTACTCAACTACTTTTACCGAAGGTCTGCATACAAAACTTAAAAAATATTTGGGTCCGGTGTTTCCAGAAATTATATTTTGGCAACTTTTAAACGCAAACGGCTAATGATTATTAGCTAATTAAGATTGTTGTTATGTTATTATGGTGTTATAGTTCTTTTCGTGTATATTCAAAGCTATAAATGTCATTTTTATAAAAGGAAACTTAAAGTGAGGCTAATGATCAAAAATAAAGATTGATGTGCGGTCCAAATCAAATACTCGAAAGGTCCGAATTCGGACCGCGGTCTGCCAGTTGAGTAGCCCTTGGTTAGAGAAAAGATTGGGCCCAAAAATTTCAGCCCGGCCCGACCCAAGCCCGGGGGTATTAAACCCGGCCCAAGCCCGACTAATTAACTGGATTCGCAGGCCCGAGCCCGAAGCAAACCCGAAATTTTCACATTTTATTCATGAGTTCTTTGAATGGTCATTACAAGAGTTTAGTACAGTATGTGTCGTGTTGATGAGGCAACTTCTGTTTTTTTGCAGACCACGGTCTCTCATGGCTAAAACGCCTCATTTAAAAAAAAAGTCAGCGATAGAGAAGCCCGACCCGACCCGACCTAGCTCTACTGTAGGTGACAGGGATAATCAGAGTATAGATTGACATAATATGGCGACAAACTCCAAATGCCTTCATTACAGTGTTACTGCCGGTTCCAGGCTCGTGTCATTCGAATTAGACTCGAATCACCATTTGTCAAAGAATGAATAAATTGTTTCGGACTCGGTATCAACTTACCCCTAGTGCAGACATGGGCAGTGCACGTCTCGCGGGCCAAATCCGGCCCATTTGGTAGTTCAATCTGATCCACCTGATGCTGCCACAACCAAACTGAAACCAAGTTTTGATGTTTAAGCTAAAATAGGTCAATTTGTTGAGATTGCGGTTAAATTTAGTTTTGGCACAAGGCTTATTGTTTTCCACCTATGCTTTATAACACTGTAAATATTGTTCATGAAATGTAACTATTTAAGTCACACTTTCATAACCCGTCAGTCTTAGTGGGCAAAACTTTTGGCCCCTGGTTCAAAAGCCTTGCCCACCTCTGAACTAACCCCTAATGCGATTTAACTAAGAGATTTACACGACTCCACTCGAGATTTAGATGACTCATGGACTAGAGCGGGGCATTTTCGAATAGCTGGTGATTTAAGAATCGAATCGAATATTATTTTCGAATCGAATCTCGAATACTTGGAAATATATAATTGAATGCAAATTCTAATTGTTAATTGGTCCTGTCAACAAATGAATTACTGAAAACATAGAATACATCACTCAGACAGATTACTGAGCGTTAACACACAATAAGATACACGTTTTATCAATACCACACTACAGAAAATAGTCAAATTTCAGAATTGCGTGAGAAAAATATGGATTGAATAGAAAAAAAAATGAGAAATTCACCTCGACGATTGGCGGAAAAAAAATGGAGGCGATTCAAAATTCTATTAAGAACCGAGTCGAATAATTTACTATTCGATTCGGAATACCCAGCCCTATCGTGGACCCAACCTGACTCGCGATTCGGGGTTCAGAAACTTTTACCCATTACTGGCCATTGCCACACAGATCTAGCAATTTTACTTTCCGGGCACAAAATGGGGATCGTCAAGTTAAGTTGTTGCTATTTATTTCCAAAATTTAATAATACTACTACTTTGTTTTGGCTTTCGTGTCCACATATCTGATCATTGCTCTCTTGTTTTAGCTGGAAAACGAAGTCACATACTCGGGAACTGTTATGCCGATATGTATGCCCGAGTACGAGACGCCTCCAGAAGATTGGCATTGCTATGCAGCAGGATTTGGAATAAGTAAGTTAATATTATCTCCTAGCTGTCAAAATATGTTTTTATTAGGTGGAAATTTATGAGTATTCATTCAGGATTAAAGGATTTGCATCAGATTACGATGGACTAGTGAAACGCCAACCCCTATCGAACTATATGGTTTCAAATTATGAGCCAGTAAATCAATATCAACGAAAGGATGGAAGCAAGTCAATACGATCAGTAAAACAGCTTTTACCGTTTTTTACGAACCATATAGCGCCAGGTTATAAAGCTCAATGTCAATAAATTGCTTAGATTGGCTTCGTATTTATGTATCGGACGATAATGCGTGCATTGGCTTATACAGGATGTATTTTTGAGATAAATATTTGAAGCGTGCCGCATGGTCCAAAAAATACGGTAGATAGAAATTCACATCTTGTTTTCATTTACAGCAAACTTTGAAGATTTGTCCACTAACACTCCTTCAGATGACATGTTCCACGTCGGTCTAAAAGTTTTTCCGATAGACGTCTGCAAAAACGAGCTACGTCTTCTGGTCGACGAAATCGGCCCCGTTCAAAGAGATAGAAGTTTGTGCGTCGGGCGGCTTTCTGGCTCAAGAGATACCTGCAGAGTAAGTTAAACAAAGGTGTAGCATGATTTTTAAAGGGAGAGGGTCAAGAATCGGAATTGAATATTTGTACAACGGCGTCTAGGACAGGCGCCGCGATTATACTATGCGTTGAAAAAGCCAACTTTTTCAGCGAATCGATTTTTCCGTTTTCCGAAGATAAATTTCGATAGGGATTCGATAGGGTTCCGCCCAGCACTCCTGATGTAGAATATACTGGAAATGTTGTTTTCAAACTTTCATAACCTGTGGCCCGCTTCTGAGGTTATCAACATCTGTGGCCTCCTGCTCTTCTATAAATAATATCTAATTTTTTTTTTCTTATCGTTTGCATTAGTTATTTTATGCGCCACGTTTAAGAATACGAGAGACAACAAACGAAGGAAAACGAATAAATATATTTCAGTTGAAGAATTAAATAAACTTTGCTTAATTTGCTTTAAGTTAATGTAGACATGGCAAATGGTCTTTGCTCTTGGCCCCAGGAAAACCGCTACATGACAATGAAGGGCGGTGTGAAGGAACTGTTTTGTGCATTACTGTCATAATTGAAATTTATTTGGGACTCACTAAAAAATCCTTAGTGGCCCACAGTTTGACGACCACTTAACAAAAGTGTATTAAATTGGGTGCTCCCGAAGTATTCGTACTAAGATGGTGCACAACCTGAACGTGGTATGTGTACCAGGTTAGGGTTGTCAAGGTTGTGCGTCATCTTGGTACAAATACGTCTGGAGCGCCATAAATTGGGTAGACCGAAATTGAAATTTTCCAGTCTTAACAAACTATAATAGCGCTACGTGGTGAAGGCGTGAAATAGTAAGCAGCTCTTTACGTACCAGCGGCTTTATTTACAGAGCTATTTTCACTGCAAATACTAAAAGAAAAACGTGTTCACATTTTTTTTCTTCTTTATACAGGGTGACAGCGGAGGCCCGATTATGTGCCAGCGTTGCCATACGTGTGCTTGGTTCATCGCAGGTTTAACTTCTTTCGGGCAATCTTGCGGACAGAATAAGCCTGGAGTTTACAGCAGAATAGAGTTTTATGAAGATTGGATCAAGATGAACAGTGGAATTACATTCACAGGATTCTCACTCTCGTGTTAAAATTAAGCTGTTTTGCTGATAAATGAAACGTGGCCATTTTTTACTTTTATCTGAAGCTAACGATATTTACGTTTCCATAATAATTAATATAAAGAGTGTTCGAAAAGTGTTAAATTTCAATTTACAAAAAGAATTTATCGATGAACTTTGCTAAATGAATAGAATCCTGATGAAACGAGACTTTTGTTTGTTTTTTTATCTGCAGTTAACGATTTTAAAGTTTCCAGAGTAATTAATATAGACAAGGTATTTATAAAGTCTTGAAAAGTTGCAAAGGGAATTTATTGAAACCATATATGGTTCGATTATTCGGCCATGTTTTGAAATTTTCTATATATTTTTATTTGGTCTTCCGGGTTTTCGACTAGGCCGTTTTTAAATTCCTCTAAGTGAAGTTTATCACAATAAATATATTCAACAACAAAAATCTTCTTCACTGTTTGTCTTGGTGTGAACCAAGAGTAACTGTTTGGGTACCGCACGTACTTTTAAATTTACCGTATTTAGGAGCCAAAGCTTTTTTTTCGGATTTTCGAATTTCGATATGGCTTGTTAAGAGTCAGATTCGAAAGGGGGTAGGGTAGGGGTTCCCAACCGGGCTCCTCAAGAGGGCCACATTGCAGTTTAAAGTGGCCACAATGATGAGCGCAAAACTGATTTCACTTTACAAGAAACCCCTCTTCCGTTCATCCCAGTTCCATTGCTTGATAAGGTTATTTCACGGGTGTTTTCACACTTTGTTGAGCATGAATTGTTTGAACATAACGGGAGGGGGATTGAGTGCTAAAGCCATCGGGAAGAATACCACGAGCCATGAGCGGTTGGATAGCATTGGGTTAGGGTTTAGTGTTAGAGGCGGTATTATTGTACTGGACATACTTTTAAACTTCCCGGACACAATGGTGAACACTGTGCTTCTTCCGGATATTGGAGTCCGAAATTTGATTGTTGGAGTCGAAAATTCCGATGACTGAATAATAAATTTAGCCAAAATATATATATCAAACTTTTCGTAACAGTAATATTTCTATCGCGAATTTTAAAGCTGTGTTTAGGCACAGTGTTACTGTGTCACAGTTTTAGTGTAAGCACTTTTGTAAATCCGAGGCCGGAATAAATTTCAAACTAATGTGGTATTCCGAATCGGATGAATTAAGGGTGTAAAAGCGCATTTCAACATCGTTCTTAAACTGTTTTGAGCAGAGTTGATTTTCACGCTCGGTAAATATTTAGTGAAATTAGTGAAAAAGTTTACACGAAGCAATATGATTTTAAAAAGTCAGTAATAAAAGAGACAGTGTGTTTGTGAGACACACAGTTTCGATGTCCACCAAGAGTCACAGAGGACCACAGAACAGTTAGAGGAAGGCAACAATACTAGGCAAACACTAATTTTACTTTTCCTTGTCAAAAAACTACCCTTCCTAGTTGATTGATTGATAAGATTATTCTACATGGTGTTTTCACTTCGTTGAGCACAACGAGATTTGAAATCTACCGATCAAGATAACAATATAAATACCATTAGAATGATAAACAGCGGGAGGCACGAGGACTAAAAGCTTCCGGAAGAGGGCCGCGAGCAATAAAAAAAGTTGGAAACACTGTTTTAACCAAACCAACCAGGATAACCCATAAGTTGGCGATATAGAGTATTTAAACTGTCATATTTCAAACTGGTATAACTTCATACCGAAACTGAAACAGAACAAACAATAAGTAACAGTACTGAGAATACATATGAAGTAGTATCGATATATATATTGTGAGTCATCGTCGTTCGTGTAAATATTACCTGGTTTACAGGTTCCGTATATACAGACTTGCAGTTGGGGTTACGCGAGACTAACTATCCTTCCTTGCCTTTGTGGGAGTGAATCCGTAGGCATGTAACGCAAGAATGCTGCGGCAAGATCTTGCTGCACACTGACGCAAATGTTTTTCTGTAACGTACTTTTGTGTTGGTGTGGAGCAAGATCCTTATTCAGACTCGCGGTCTTTGTATCGGTTCATGGACCATTTTAGGTAAAATTTGATTAATAGAATAATTTCAAGAAACCACTGTTTTTTTTTTAGGTTGCACCAATATCTACGATAGGTACTTTGACACGACTGATTCAAGTTCGTGTTACAAATAAAATAATTTAACAAATAAAATTATGCATGGGGATTAAACTATTCTAATTTAGTTATCTGCTATTTATTATAATCGAGCTGATGGGCTTTGTCAAAATTAAAAAATATTTGCTTATCTGTTCATGGCATACGAAATGTAGTATTTGCAGCTCTTTCCCAAAAAAATATGCTTGCTTATAGTTTGTAACACTCTCAAAAGATTCCGCGTGCTGCAAGGTCACAGAATAGTCCTGATTGTCTGATGACGTACTATCCAACAGTAAGACTGCTTTTACAACAGAATATTGTCCAAAGTGAACGTGTGAAAAAGCCTCATATTAAAAATCCTGGATCTTTCGTACAAAGTCCCTGTCAACGCTAAAAAATTGGTTTGGCATATCGTTAAGGACGCTGATTGCGCCGGAAATTCACATCTTTAAATCATTCTTAGCACCAACTGGATAATTATTAATTTGTTATTTCAAAACGTTGCGGAGGTATTTTTCTCAAATCTCACTTTTCTTGCATTAGTGTCGACCTGAACAAATACCTCGATCAATGATTTCAACGAGTCACTCAAAAGTAATTTAATAACATGTTAAACATATTAATTTTTGGATATTTTGTACCAAGTCCCTACCAACGCTTAAAATAGGAAAATTACCTAATACGTATTTAAAAAACGTGCAAAACCTGTATCAGAGTAAAAGTGGTGAAAATCTTAAAAGAGTCGCAAAAGATTGGCATTTAGATAGCAGCTTCTCACATATCTTATGGCTTCTTGCACAGTGCATTGTTCCGAGCAAAAAAAAACGTGAATAAACGTCGTATTGAAAACACAGATCCTTTTTTTTATTTAATATAAATTTTTCAACAAATCTCAGAATGAACTCAACTGCTACGCGAAAACTGAAAGCACCGTCGAGATATGACTCATATAAATCTTGTCTCTAGTTTCTATTTATGTATGATTCCGGATTTATTAATCACCAGTCTTTTCGATTTATGGTAATTTCGAATGATGTCATTATTTTGATCTTTTAAATACTGATAGCAAGGCCAACTGTATGCGGTAGTATATTAAGGCAATTATAATCAATATTCTGTTTATTAACTAGGTGCTGTATATGGTGCTTTAGGCGCTGTGTTTTTGGAGAGGCGGGAATCTTTTGACTGAATTCTGTTTGATTGACGGGATTTCATTGTACGTGAATTGGGAACAACGATATTTTCTTTACGTAAAACGGGGGTTTATATTCAATTTCATTATTATTTTTTAAATACTGGTTTAGCAGGCCCATCAGTAAGTGGTGTCATAGTAACACTACAATAACCCATATGCCGTTTTCCTATTGCACAGTTTGATATGGTGTTTTAAATGTATTTGAATTGACCAATGCTCTAGAACTGTGACGGAAAAGGTTTTTTAGACCTGTGGGTAAAAAAGTGCCCATCTAGACTGGCGGGCCATGTAAGTGTGGCGTGGAAGGTACATTTTGTGAACAATATTTACTGCGTTACAAAAGCAAAGTTGAAAACAATAAGCCTCGTGCCGAAACTAATTTTAATTAAAATCTCAAATCAAATTTGGTTTTTAATTTGGTTGTGGCAGCATCAGGCGGGCCAGATTGGATTACCCAACGGGCAATATTCGACCCGTAATTTTCTCATGTAAGCTCTAGAGTCTAGACAAGTGGTTACTGGACTTGCAAGTCGGTTTCGGAGTTCGGAGTCGGTTTTCAAAACGGTTCAAGTTATATACATCGTTTTTTTTTCACTTTACAGCTCCTTCAACGATTTTGATTCTAACTTTGATTACTAATCTCATTCTGCGGTTCAATCATTATTCATAAAATTTCCGCATTGATAAGATGACTGGCGACTTGCCTCAAGCCATTTCTGTTATAAAAATCAAATCGTGAAAAGGCGAAGTCGATGTTTTTGTTTGAAGATTTGATAAGTGTAAGTACAGAATTGTTAAATGGCTTCTTGTGTAAATTTCAGTTTTTGTAAAATCTAAATTTTGAGTGTCACAGAGTTGCGAGTTGTATTGAACATTGTTCGACAAAAATCCGGATCCGAATTTGTGGGTGATAGATCTCAATTCGGCACTTTGATTTTGAATTTGTCTCAGAGTTGGCTGCTGAAGTTAGTGTTCAAGTTTTTGTTGAAAAGTGGCCGAATTGAAACCGGATCCGGTTTAGCGTTTTCAATGAAGTTTCAAGTTGAATGACGCTTTCTGTGGCTTTGCAGTCTTTTAGCGATTTTTAATTCTACCTTTTATCACCAAATCTCACATACAAACTCAGTAATACTCATATTACACGACAATTCAAGTTAAATCACTGTGTTTTTCAATATTCTCATCCGCAAAGTATCAATCTCATTCTGCGGTTCAAAAATTATTCATAAAATTCCCGTATTGTTGAGATGACTGGCAACTTGCTTCAAGCGATTTCTGTTAGAAAAATTGAAGCATGAAAAGGCGAAGTAAACATTTGTGTTTGAAGATTTGATACAGTGTTGTTAAAGCGCTTCTTGTTCAAATTTTGTAAATTATAAATTCTGAGTGACATAGAGTGGTAGTTGGAGTCAAAATTCTGTCGATGCAAATCCAGATCTGAATTTGTCCATGGATAGATAATTTTTTCTCGACTTTACAGGATTTAGGAATAGTAAAAGCTTGCAATTCCACAATTTTCATGAATTCCAACTTGTTGTACCAAATAGTAGGAGTTGGAGTTTCAATCTTTTTCGACAAGAATCCGGACCCGGAGTCGTCTTTTTTGTTTTTTAATAACTTACAGTTCTTATACGACTGATGAATATTACACGACAATTCAATGTGAATCACTGTGTTTTTTTATTACTCATTCTGCGGTTCAATTATTATTCATAAAATTCCCGCATTGTTGAGATGACTGGCTACTTAAAGCAATTTCTGTTAGAAAAATTAAAAAGTAGAAAAGTAGAAATTTTTGTTTGAAGATTTGATTAGTGTAAGTACAGCATTGTTAAAACGCTTTCTGTGCAAATTTTTCCTTTTTCGTCTAGTCTAAATTTTG